TCATCTTTTTAAGTGGGAGAACTTGCACAATTGGTGGCTGACTAAATACTCTTTTGCCCCACTGTATTAGTTGTCAACATTTGAAATAAGTTATTTTAGAAAAGTAGACTTTCAAGTTATTTGGTCAAACTTTTTGGATTTTTTTTCTTTGTGATGTCATTTCCCAGGCCTTTTTGTTTTCCCTAAGAACAGCTTGGAGCCAAAAAAAAGTTTGGTAATCAAATAGCATATCAAATTCAGCATATACAGAATACCAAAACCTCACTGCCTCTTAATGACCCCTTCAGGACTGGGATTATTTTTCCTTCAGTGCAACCTAATCACTCTCAAATTCCAGGCCATTTATACTTAAGTCTCTTCTTCAGGCTTCCAAATTTTTAATCTACTTTACCTCAGACAATATCTCATTCTCCATTATTTATTCTATTTCTTTCCATACTTTAGTTTTCCTCTTTGCAGTCACAACTCAGTTTACCAATCCTTCATCTGCTCTACATGGTTCCATTTTAACAGAACTCATACAAGGTTATGAACTCAATTAATATCCATCCTTGCTGAATGATTATGTTCTTTTCCTTTGCAATTTTGATCCTTGAGTCATTGGAAAGTTCTGTACCCTAAGAATAGCTTAGCCACTACCAGAGGGCTGTGCAAGGTAGAGTGTATTAGTGTAACACCAAAATATTTTCCAGTTTCAGATAAACATACCATAAAAATGTATGCTTATATATCTTGTGGAAGCCCATATTCAAATCCTTAGCTGTGCAAGCAAATAAGCAGTATTATTAAAAAGTCACTGCAAGATTAAATATCACTTTGCTATTATATTTTAGACATCTAAGCATTTAACAAGTCCTTTATTATCGTAGTGTGCATCATCACCATCATCATTATTCATTAAATTTGTTATGGCTGCCCGCTCCAGAAAACTCCTATATAGCAACTTATAAGAGGGAAACAGGAAAATTGTAAAAAGCTACCATCTTTTTATTCTACAAAGGGCCCAAGATGAACCAATAAATTGTATTTTTAAAGCTCAATGGCTACGAGTAATCGATCATAGTTTACCTCACTGATGGGCTGCCCCTGTGAAGTCAACTCCAACTCTTGAGGTCGTGTCATCTTGTCAATGTCCAGGGAGTCCATACTGGATGCCGCAGACGTGATGCTAGATCGGGAGGAATTACTGATAGAACGGACTTCAGCATCACTCACAGTACCAGCTGATGCCGTCCTCCTGTGCTGAGTAGCAACTACGGGCTTGCTATCTTCAGTTATCGGTTGCTGAGCTGCTTCATCCATACTCAGAGATGCTTTCTCTAACTGTGCAGTAATGTCATCCAGAGAGAAGATAGCATGTGAAGGCTTTGTTATTCGACCAGATGAAGAAGACAATCCTTTCATGCTACCATGCTTGGTAGGGAGTCGGCTACCACCTGGCGGTTTCTGAGTCATTTTCCCTTCTGCGGGAAAACATTTCATTGATGTACTGTTTGCGGACTGTGATCCAATGCTGCTGAGCTCCTGCTCTATGGAACAAAGATCTGCCATAAGAGCATCAAGATCTACAGTCTCACCTTGATTCAAGGCTTCTGCAGTGAATGACAAGAACATAAACAATATTCCAATTTCTATTATGTTCCATTATATTAAAGATATTTTAGTTCAGACGTTGGAATTACTTGGACCATGCAAATCCTTCAAAAGAGGTTCTTTGGGATTTTTTTCTCAAAGCAGCTGTCTCTGCTTTTTCTAGATTCATGCAGCAAGTTCAGAAGCTGATCACAGGTGTCTCTGAAGGCACATGCATGCACAGCCTCTTTATGCTGTTGGGAAAAAATTATGAAGTAGTTGTGCATACACATGCATGTGAAGACAGCAGCAGTTTGGAAAGAGATGTAGCTGCCTTAATGATGCTATTGATTAATTTATGGAAATTATTGTCAGGCTTTCTATCTTTACCACATGGGCTGCTTTTACACATAATGCTAAGAATGAATTTGTTTTAACCATGGTTTGATAAACAAGTTAATGCTATTTTTGTAGATGAGCAAAGTCATCATAAATTCCTCATGTCCTAATTTGTTTTCTCCATCTCTGCCACTTCCCAGAAGAAATGGGCAGAGAACAAATTAATTAATTATTCTGGATTCAAACATAAATCAAGCCATAGTTAGAACAAGTCAGAATTCATATGCCAATAAACAATGCTTATGGAAAGTAATTTGCTACCAAGAATAAGCCATAGTTTATTTTGGGGCCGAGTTTATGTATCATGTTGAGCCAAAAACAAATCAATCGCATTATGGCTTAGATTATGTATAAGTCAAACTACTGATTTATCTGATGTGAGTTTAAAAAAATTCTGCTGCATGAAGTTCTATCAATACTTTTAAAATTTTGACATGAACACTTTCTTTAGAAAAATCATACATACTATATACTTACAGAAAAAGTAATAGGTTTTAGCAGGATTTTTCTTTGTTTTGTATTCAAATACATAATATTTTTACTTTAAATAACCAATTTTTAAAAATTCAGTTCTCTTTTTAAATTAAGATGGGATGAGAAGAGTCAGGGTTGATATTATTAAAATTAATATTAATTACGAATCAAGTTTAGGGATTGCACTTTCAAAATTATTGAGGAATATCTTCAATTGCCATGGAAAGCCTAGTGTATGATTTCTTATAACTTATAAAACTTTATCCCCAATATCTTATTACTATCAAACAGTTGTTTGCTCAATGAATAAACACAATTTACTTCCTCTGTGAAGATCATCTTATACAGCACTGACTCTATAACACTGTCTAACATACAACACGTAATACGTTGACTCATATTCCCACATTACACTTATCATCATCTGTATTTTCTAAATAGAACCCTGAATCAAGTTCAACCAACTCATCTCCATTCATTAACTGGAAGAAACTTTTTATTTTACATCCAGTGTGATAATCTGTGACACAAAAAATTAATGTTAATTGTATCATAATAATTTTTAAATCTCTCATTTTGTAATAGCAGCAGAATTAATTTTTTTTCTCTAGCTGAAGTAATTTAGCAATCAATCTTACCATTCAGGTTGTACATGGAAAACCGGTAAGAGAAATTGGCAATATTAGCATCTTGGCGAAGAGGGGATCTTTTTACTGGTTCCATAGGCTTGTCTGTATCCAAACTCTAAATAAATGAATTGGGGAAAATAATCAAGAACTGTATCATATATAAATGAACATAAGGAAATATTTACTAGTCCACTCACATCCACAGGTAATTTTTCTTAGAAATGTTTGTATGTACAAAATGTTTAATGCTTACCAATAATTAAAGTAATCTATCTCAAAATAAAACATTTTTATGGAGCTCTATATAAGCAAGGAAAAATGTATTCAATATAGATGTCTATGATATAGGGCCATAGTTACTGGTGATTTGGCACTAGGGACTGTCTTGGTCCAGAAAAGTTGGGAAGTATGGGTGGTTACCTGCCCCCCAGAACGAGAATATGGCTCTGTGTGTGTGGCCTAGGCCCTCAAATAAGCATGGGAGCCAGGGTGGGGGTTCACAGAGAGGGTAGGAGGAAGGGGAGGGAGTGAAAAGTGGTACAAGTGGCTTGGCCAGATACCGCCCTAGTGGTTGGAAGTGTATTAATTGTGGGAGGGCAGGACTGGAGCTGCAGTGACTAGTAGGAGCTACTTTGGAAGACCGGGGAGGAGTGGAGACGATCTGAAAGGGAGTTGGAAGACAAATGCATTCCAGAGGTGGCAGGTTGGAGAAGGTATGGTGGGAGGAATTGGGCGAGCCACTGGAGAAGGGAAATGAGGAATTTGTTGTCCATCTCCTCTTCTGGTCCATTACCTTGTCGCCTAAACCAATCTGCTAGTGGATTACAACAGCCACATTGTCTGGAGCTGAGGGAAATTTTATCGTGCACATACAGTGGGGCAAAAAAGTATTTAGTCAGCCACCAATTGTGCAAGTTCTCCCACTTAACAGATGAGAGAGGCCTGTAATTTTCATCATAGGTATACCTCAACTATGAAAGACAAAAGGGGGAAAAAAAATCCAGAAAATCACATTGTCTGATTTTTAAAGAATTTATTTGCAAATCATGGTGGAAAATAAGTATTTGGTCACCTAGAGAACTTGCACAATTGGTGGCTGACTAATTACTTTGGACCAGGACGACTGATCCGTGTAAAGGAAAGAATGAATGGGGCCATGTATCGTGAGATTTTGAGTGAACACCTCCTTCCATCAGCAAGGGCATTGAAGATGAAACGTGGAGAACTTGCACAATTGGTGGCTGACTAATTACTTTGGACCAGGACGACTGATCCGTGTAAAGGAAAGAATGAATGGGGCCATGTATCGTGAGATTTTGAGTGAACACCTCCTTCCATCAGCAAGGGCATTGAAGATGAAACGTGGAGAACTTGCACAATTGGTGGCTGACTAATTACTTTGGACCAGGACGACTGATCCGTGTAAAGGAAAGAATGAATGGGGCCATGTATCGTGAGATTTTGAGTGAACACCTCCTTCCATCAGCAAGGGCATTGAAGATGAAACGTGGAGAACTTGCACAATTGGTGGCTGACTAATTACTTTGGACCAGGACGACTGATCCGTGTAAAGGAAAGAATGAATGGGGCCATGTATCGTGAGATTTTGAGTGAACACCTCCTTCCATCAGCAAGGGCATTGAAGATGAAACGTGGAGAACTTGCACAATTGGTGGCTGACTAATTACTTTAGACAATGTGATTTTCTGGATTTTTTTTCCCCCTTTTGTCTTTCATAGTTGAGGTATACCTATGATGAAAATTACAGGCCTCTCTCATCTTTTAAGTGGGAGAACTTGCACAATTGGTGGCTGACTAATTACTTTTTTGCCCCACTGTACTCTGAGGGTACCAAGTTATAGAAAGCTGTTATAGGAAGAAAGAGCAATCTCTTTTACTGTTTGTATCTCATAACATTATAAACAAACTTTAACCTGTGTGAGTTTATCCAACTCTCCAAGCCAAGCTCCAAACATCTTATCCAGGTCCTGATCTTCTTTATCACTATCTTCTTCTGCACCATGATCAAGTTCTTCATCTGAGAGCTGCTCCATCTAAAAGAGAAAATGATTTTTAGAAATTTAAAGGCTTTAGCTGTTATCTGCCATATCATTTGTTCCCACATGAGTTAGCAAGAATGGATAACTATCAATGGAGTTGAGAAGTCTTAGAAGTTGTTCTGCTCATCCCTGATTTTTGCTCCTGGCAAACTGCCCATTCCATGAGCCAATGAGTCTAATCAGCATGTATTTATTTCAATAGCAAGCCAAAACTACCACTGTCCTTCTCTTTGTATTCCTTTATGGCACAGTTGCTTCCTCTCTGCAATTTAGGGAACCAGCATTCTGTTTCCCATTCTTCCATATCTCTTTTTCTTCTCTGAATGCTCAAAGCCTGTTTCATCTGCCAGGGACTACAGATAGTCCTCGCTTAACGACCATCCGTTCAGCAACCATTCAAATTTATGACATTGCTGAACAAAGGGACTTTATGACCCATGCCTGAAGTTTCGGCCGTTGCAGCACCTCCGCGATCACTTGATCACAATCTGGGCCCTTGGCAATTGGTCTGCACTTAGGATCGGTTGCCAAGCGTCCCATGATCATGTGACACCATTTCCAATCTTCCCTGCTGGCTTCCCCAGAAAATCAGTGGGGAAGCTGGCAGGGAAGGCTGCAAGCCACTGCCACCTACAGAGAGGACTCCCTCTCATCTCTGGGGGCTGGCTGAAAAAGCTCCATACCGAAATCTCTGTTGGCTGGCTGAAAAAGCTCCATGCTAAATTCCAAGCAGGATTTTGGCACAGGGCATTTTCAGCCAGTCCCCAGAGACAAGACGGAACCCTCTCCAGGTTTTTTGAGGGACCGCCTCTCCCCGATTTTATCTGCCTGTCCCACTAGTTCTAGCAAAGTGGGTATGTTATGGATTCTGTTGTCTAGGGAGCTACATTTGGCGGGCCCTAGGTGGCGGACCTTTTCTGCTGTGGCGCCCGCATTGTGGAATCTTCTCCACCCAGAGATGAGATCAGCCCCATCACTCCTGAGTATTCAAAAGCCCCTCAAAACCTGGTTATGTCAGCAGGCCTGGGGACCCCAGGGGATAGGTGAACTAGTGAGGTGGCTCTATTATTAACATCCCTTCACCTATTATTTTCTTTTCTGTTTTAGTTCTGTTTTATAGTTTTTAATATTTTTAATAATTACTATATAATGATTTTGTGTAATGATTATATATTATATATATTTGTTTTATTGAATTGTTGTATGCCACCCAGAGTCACTTTTTGTGAGATGGGCAGCCATATAAATTTGATAAATAAATAAATAAACAAACACTTTCCAAGTTTCAATGGTGCAGAATATCTTCTACTTCTCTTCCTGAGAGGTTGAAAATGACCAAGAAGGGCCCACATTCCCATCCATTTCTCAACAAAGGTTATCAACTAGAGCAACCAATGCTGACTCAGTCCCATACCCAGCTCAGAAACTAGACTAAAAGGGATCTGGATAATCCACTTCCTATAAGGTTTTTAGATGAATTGCCACATGATAGTTCAATCTTCTTTTGTGATGGCTGGGGTAGCAGTTCCATTTCCTACTTTTCCATAGTGATGTCCCATCTAATACAATTTTTCAGATACACAGGACAACTAATGAAAAGGTTTGCAATTTCCTCACCTGTTCTCATTAATGCTAAATGTCCTTTACTTTACCCATATAAACTGCTGTCCCACTAAAGCAGAAGTCTCCCTATCTAGCAAAATGCCCTTGTGCCTTATTGTTTCCTTGTTATTCTCTGACTTTCCTAGCTGATTTATTTGCTTAACTAAAGTCAATTTTCCTGAAACATGAACCTCGAGTAACCCTACTCGACTTGCAGACGCTCCTTCACTATACAAAGCTAGTTAGAACAATGTTCTAGTACAGAGTTTGCCTACCACCACCTTTTAAAACCTTATATAAAGGCTAAACTAGTTTGGATTTCTTTGGATGTTTAGATAATAATACATATTGCTTTTTAAAGATTAAACTAGCTTGGATTCCCTTCCACATTCAAAGAAATATTTCTTACTGTGTGCCTTTAGTACTAAAGAGAACTTGAGACTGGAAATTAACCTATCAATGCAGCTAGAGTTTGACAACATTTCACTGCTACTGATTGTCAAGTAAATGCCTTGTAAGCTTGAAGAAAACCCTTATGTCCCTTTGGCTTGGGCAAAAGAGAAAGACTGGCAAAAAATAAAAAATAAAAAAAATTGTATTTTCCAATATTGGCACTGGAATAACTGCTGCTGGTCTTAATAAATCTAAATGACGGAGACCTTAACGTTAGAAATATTTTGTCATTAAAACAATGAGGTTTTTTTTTTTAACCACATTGTAAAAAATCTTCAGAGACTATGCACATCTTCATAGGCATATTTTAAAAATTTCTTAAATACAAATACTAATGCATCTGTGTTTTTAACAGCATTCACTGTTTAAATCAGTGATTCTCAACCTTTTTGAAGCTGCCGCCCCCCTAAGGAGCGGAAAATTTT